GGACTTACCTCAGTGTATTAATGCAGTCAAGTACTGTAAACAGTTGTCCAAATTGATGGTACTTCTTGTATGGGAAATACAAGCAAGTTTTATTATTGGTTGTGGTCAATATGGAACCGCATATTCTTCTGTTGCGTTTGCCCTCGTTCAAGGAGAAGACACTGAGTCTTGGGCTTTTTTCCTTAAAAATTTACGTTTACATGTTGTCACCAGGGAACGAGTATGCATTATTTCAGACCGAGGAGCCGGGATAAAAGCAGCAATGGACTCTTTGGGTACAATATAGACCTCCACATGTCCTCACATTTTGTCACCTAATATTAAACATAAACGTTTCTTAATCAATACATTAACACTAAATAATACTCAATGTCAATTTCATTTTACATATCAAACCGCTCTGTGTGCCATCTTCTTCCTTTTGCATTCGACCATACTGTCAACATTTAAATTTGTATCAATTTAAAGTTTACGATACTTAATGCAATTACCATTTCAACAATAATAACAAAAAGACATTGATACTTACTAGAAGTAAATATCCCCTTGGTTGCTTTCGAGTCTCGGCCTCAATTTCAAAGTCATATGCGCCACCAACAATTTCCAACCCATGACTCCATTTTTCTGACCTTATATTCAGTTTACGCAAATCAAATTATTTGTTACATACACTTTATTCAATATACAATATAGATAATACTCTTGTGTAAAACGGTTTTCTTCAAAAGAATTGATGGCCACTACAAAAATGTGTCGGCACATTTATACAACCTATAATATTTTTACCTATAATATTTAATAAAGTATCGACATTTATTTTTTCCTTGAATATCACTTTCTATCTGCAATCGGTCTCAAATGCTTCTTTACTCCAAAACCCCCAAACAACACATAAAAACCCTATTGCGATTATTGTAATAATAAAAAATTAGGGTTTCGACAACATACTTTTCGATTTGACTGCAGCAACAAACAAACAAACTTCGCTTAGAAACGCATTATGAAATGCAGCAACAATTACGATTCGATTTCAAAAACTCGTCCGTTCTATCTATTTTCAGAGGTATTTAGCTATGACCTTTATATTTTCATCGGATATGTATTTATATTAATCGATACAAATACAAAAGTGTCGATACTTTTATGTCAGGTGTCGATACTTTCGAAATGATAATTACGTATTTCTTTGAAAGTATCGATAATTTATTACACGTACTTACGAAAGTATCGACACTTTTAATATATCCGGTATCATTTTATCGGTTTTATCATTTTGATACCGGTTTTATCATATTTTTACCTGTTATATCGTGTTTGATCGATATTTTTTTTAAGTATCGACACTTTATAGGCGCTAAACGCTTCTCTTTAAATTCACAAAGTGTCGATCCTTATATAAAGTTTCGACACGTTCAATATATCCGGTAGCGTTTTACCGGTTTCATCATTTGGATACCAGTTTTATCATATTTTTACTTGTTATATCGTTGTTGATCGATATATTTTTTGAAAGTATCGACACTTTATAGACGCTAAAACCGCTTCTCTTTTAAATTAACGAAGTGTCGATCCTTATATTAAAATACCGACACTTTAAATATATTCGGTACCGCTTTACCGGTTTTATCATTTCAATACTGGTTTTGTCATAGTTTTACCTGTTATATCGTTGTGGATCGATACATTTTTAATTTGGATCGACACGAACCGACAAGTTAAGTTTACCGGTTGTACAATTTTTTAATATTTCTTCATGACTTAGACATACTACACTATTATTAGTCAATATTTCCGGTAGTACTAAACTAAATTTGTTAAATATCTTTTAATATATCTAATGACATCATATATTAACCGTATATTAATCTTCCTGAGACATTCCCAACATTGGCAAGTGCATGAATTTCTACCGAGTTTCCAATGGGACCCAGAATAAAGGCCAATCGCCCTACCCACTAATGTAATTACTGAAACATATCATAGTACGGTGATGATGATGACTATGTTGACTGGAATGGATTATAGAAGTTAGTAACTGTTGTTGTGATTTTTAATCATTTGATAATAAATATTTAAATATATTAAAATTATTATTTCTCGAATTTAGAATATGTAAAAATATCAATAATTTATTTAATTATTGAGACAACTTAATTGGTTTTATTTTCGTTTTAATTCAGTGAAAATAGTGCATTTCAAAATATTTTAGAAAAGGGAAAACTAATTCATATATCGTCGAACATTAAGTATTGACTCATTTATACCATTAAACTTTTATTTTATCAATTTTAACGCTAACTTTTAAGTGTAGTTATGTCACTATGTCGTTAATGATCTAACGGGATGATGACATGATAGTTGTGCGTCACGACGTTGCCAATGTGATTGTCTAATCAAAACGACATCATTTTGGCATAATATTTTGATGTCTAAAAAAGGATGATTCTTTTACGCTCGACAAGTAGCAACGAGCACCACTAACAACAAGCACCAATAATTTAATTTATAAAAAATTTAAATTATAAAGGACAAATAATTTAATTTATAAAAATTTAAATTATAAATGACTCAACGTGTATTTATAAATTAGTTAAATACTTAGAGATAAATTATTTAAAATAAAGGGTAAATTATTCCAGTGACCACCTAATTAATGTCCCTTTTCATTTTGACCAATATTTTTAAAATTTTATTAATCAGGTCACTCAACTATTTAAATGTATTTAATTATGTCACTTGCCGTTAATATTTAACAGAGAAGCTGGTGTGACAGTTAAAATATTTGATATAATTAAATATTTTGTCAGTGTTACTTATATACTCTATCAATTTGGTCCTAATTTTAATAAATTAAAATAAACTTAACCTTCAAATCTTTAATTTTAAAAGTTATGCCATATTCTATATTTATAACAAAACAAAATTTTTACTTGACTAATACAATTGAAGTAATGTTAATTTATCATTTTTTTAATTTATCAATTGACTAATACAAATGAAGTAAGGTTAATTTATCGTTATTTAATTTATCAATTGACTAATATGAATTGCCCATAATATCGATGAATCAAACATTATAATTTTACTCAAAAATATAAGACTACACCTCATAATCTTAAATAATAAGGATCAAATGTAGTAAGTTCTTCATGAGAAAGTGAAGGGAAAAAACAAAAGCTCAATTGCAATTATATTTGTGTTAAATAAAAGTACAATTTATTGAATTTAATTTACGCTACAAAAGGATGTGACAACATATCCATGATGACTATGTTCCCGTGGCTTTGCTTGCTATTGTTCCTCGACAAAGCACGTACAGTTCTCAGCTTCTCTTGTCACCCTATACTTCTGCAGTAAACATATTATAGAAGCTATTACCAAAAAAGGGAGAACATTTATTCTTTTGACACCCACAGTTCACCAATCAAAACCTTTATAAAATAAATCTTTTCAGTCGCGAGGTACGATTTCACACAAAATAACAAACACAGCTACATCATGGTATCTTTGAACGCCTAGAACACAAAACATGCAATGTTACATTATAAAATTGATAGAATATATAACTAACAATGATCAAATGTGTAATTATATCAAATATTTTAACTGTCACATCATCTTCTCTGTTAAATATTAATTTTAAGTGGCTTAATTAAATGCATTTAAATAATTGAGTGACCTAATTGATAAAATTTCAAAAATATTGATCAAAATGAAAATGGGCAATAGTTAGATGGTCCTGGTATAGTTTGTCCTTTCTTTTAAATAATTTTTCTTAAAATTTTTAACTAATTTAAAATTATACATTGAGTCCTTTGGAATTTAAATTTTTATAAATTAAATTAATTGTGCTTGTCGTTAGCAGTGCTCATCGCTGCTCGTCGAAAGCTGTAGAATTATCCCTAAAAAAAGCTAAAATAACATCATTTTGCTTAAATATTAATTCAAACTTAATCATATTATACAATATACATATTATACAATTCAAACTATTTATAATTTATGTTTAAAACTAAAATAATATTTATATATAATAAATAATATAGATATATAATATTATAATATAATATTATAAATAATATTAATACATATAATATATTTTTATATATAATTTATAATAGAAATAATATTTTTTTTAAATAAAAGTTTCGAATTCTTCAAGTTCTCCCAAAATCCAAAACTCTAAATATCAAACTCCTAATTTCACATATTCTAGTAGACGAATCATTGGCAATCGCCCATAACATTTGTTGTTAAACTCTTACCACTAATTATTCTACTCTCTCATATACATAAATCGAAAAATAGTATGCTAATCAATTGTCAAACATCGATTGTTAAATGAACCAGTCGAACTATGAACTATGACTGATCAACGAGCAAATAACTAATAACATGCGCAGATAAAGGACACCTTAGTGTGGTGGCAACACTATGCTATCGGCAACGATGATGAGTGAATTTAAGGATTATGGTTTTGAATTTGTTTTGGAATTTTCAAGAATTTTAAAAAATTGGGATTTTTGTAAATGTAGGGTTCTTAAAAAAAGATTTTTTCATGATTTTTTTTGAAAAAATTAATATCACTTATATCAATAAAAATGAGGTTATTTTGGGCTTTTTGAGTACCACAATAATTATATTAAAATGACATCATTTTGATGAGGTAATAATATCAATAACGTCACGAATGCAATTATCATGTCATCGTTCATTTAGTTATTAATGACGGATTGATAAAATTATAATAAAAAATAAATAGTACTAAAATTGGTAAAATAAATAATTTAATAATATAAATAAAAAAAACCTTAAAATTTGATGGTATCTAAAATAGTTTCCTTTTAGAAAAATAGAAGTCGATGCTTAAGCCAAATATAAAATAAATTGTAATAAATAGAAAAGGCGTGAGTTGGGCTCGATTTGGTCCTATGAAACATACGAACAAGAATACAAAATAAATAAATTATAAAAAAAAATTAACCAAGTGAATCCGACCGACACGACTATTTGGGAAAGAAACGGCGTTTGATAAATGAACTGCGAAGTGAATACAAAAAAATGGTTGCAGAGGCAAGATGAAGTTAACATGGAACAAGAAGCGCTCCAGAGAAGCTTTCGCAAGATACTCAAACCTCCCCTTTGATCAACAAGAACCCTCTTCTGATGATACGCAGCTGCAGAATCATGAACCCACCGCTTCTCAAAATCACGAGAAACCCTCTGCTGATGCTTTGGATTCTGATTCTGACTTCAAAAAACTTGCCCAATCCTTCCAAGCCCAAGGCGACAAGCTTGCTGAGGTTTCTCATTTTCCTTTTTTTTGGCTTACTTTCTGTCCCTTTCTCCATTAATTGATTTGGGGTTTAGAGTAGAGATAGGCGCAATCTTATTGAATTGTTGAATTGGGAATTGAGTATAAATACTATATAGCCTTTCGTTATTCTATTTGACGATTTTACCAGTTTATTAACTGATTGTGAGATTTTTTGGACCCCTTTTCTATGTTTTTTTTCACCTTTAATTTGGCTAAGTTATAATGATATGAGAGGAAATAATCCAAATTGGATCTGTTTTCAGTCACCTGTATGAATTGTAGCAATCTAACAGGGGAAATGAGGGTAAGAAACCGTCTTCGAGTTGCTTAGAATTTATATAGTGCTAAATGATTTATTTGAAAATCTTGTTGAGCTTTGATTTTGTTAAATGATTTATTTAGCAGCTTTGCGTTAGCATGAAACGGCGGTACTTTTGGCTTGTCATACTTGTTATGATGTATTTATCCTCATAGCTAGTCTCTTTTGAAGGATGGGAAATACCGGGAAGCACTTGGGAAGTGGGAGGCGGCTCTTAATTTGATGCCTGAACATGCAGTTTTGTTTGAACAGAAGGCACAAGTTCTACTTGAGCTTGGGGATGCATGGAGTGCATTGAAGTCAGCAACTCGTAAGTCATGGTTCTCTTTTCAGTGACATTGTCGAAATGCTTCTTTTGATTCAAAGCTCCTTAAACAAGATCAGAAATTGCAGATGTTTCTGTATTTGGATATATTATGTGCTATGGTTTGTTTGTCTGTTGCAAGTATGTATACAAGTTTAAAACTTTTGTCTGCTTATTTGTGGATTCCACTTGGCAGGAGCAACTGAATTGGAACCATCATGGTCTGAGGTATGTCAAGCTTGTAACCTGAATGTAATGCCGAATAAGAAGCTTTATTGAATACCTTGAAAAACATCACACCCCCTTTATGATTGTGTTCCTTAAACATGACGATTATATTTCTCATAGGATTTTGAACATTTCTAACTGCATTTTGTTATATATATGCGAAATTTGAGTTCATTTCTGTTGTTTTACACCTGGTACTTATGGTCCATCATCAAATTGATGATGACAATAAAGTTCAAATTTAGCTATTGAGGAAAATAATTTTGTGTATCGACTAATTTCCCTGGTTTCCCAATGCTTGCTTTATGTACAGTGGTCTCTAGCTAATGCTGAGATATTGCAATTGAATATTTTTCTCCTGTTCATAACTTCATTAGATCGGATGTTTATTCTGAAGTACTTTTATGTTGTAGTGTTATTTGTATGAAAAAACAGTCCGTTTATAACTTCATTAGATCAAATGTTTATTTAGAAGTACTTTTATGTTGTAGTGTCCTTCGTATGCAAAAGCACTCCATTGTTACATATGAGGTTGTATTTGTTTTTTAGGCATGGGTCACTCTTGGTAGAGCACAGTTAAACTTTGGAGAGCCTGATAGTGCCATTGAGAGTTTTGACAGAGCATTAGCTATCAAGGTACGTTTTGGATACTTATCATTCCATGTTACCTGGCCTGGCCTTGTATTTTGAGGAAGTGTGCTTTATCAGATCTCCAAGCTGCTGCATATATTTTCTGAAGTCCAATGTCTCTGGTTAAATTGGTCTCCGGTCTTGTACTCTTATCCCGGGCAAGAGGGAAATTCTTGGCAACTGAACTATTTTGACAAAATATTATCTTCTTTGAAATGTCAATTAGAAGTAGATTTATAGATCTGTTTAACAAAATATTGAGTTTTTGCCACGAGTCCTTTGTGAAACCTATTTATACTTTATAGTATTTTCTTAGTTTTATCTCTCACCATTTTGAAATTTCTAAGTCCTAGTAATTAAGAGGGAGGCTTCATTTTGATAAGTCCATGTAGACTGCTATGGTTGGATTTAATAAAGCCATATCGTTTTTTGCAGCTTGATTCCGTGGAGGCACAAGATGACAAGAAAACTGCGTTACATCTTATAAAGAGAAGAAAGCAGCTTCATTCATCAGGCCTGAGTACCGCTAAAAACCGTTATATGGTAGGTGATAGCACCGACTCTTGATTTTACACGAAGTGTAATTGTTACTCAGAGGAGGATTGGTGTTAAGAGTTACCAGCCATCTGTAATTGAGAATCCAGTATGCGGATAAAGGATATAGCACTGAGATTGAGTCCCCAACTTACCACGAGACAGAGATGAACATAGCTACACAATCGAAAATTTTGGATTTGCTCAGGATTCGGCTTTGATGGAAAACTTTGTAGGCATAATATCAGACAGTACTGTCTATTCTGAAAGTTTATGCAAATGGTGTGTGCTGTTTCGATCTTTTAGAAAACGTTTGTTAAATTTAAACCACGAGATTGTGTACAGATAAATTCTCCCAAGATCGTGTATAAATATTAGGCATTTAAGAAATTCCCTTTGTCAGCTTTAAGTAATCTTTATGAAAGACGATGGAATGAAAAGGATGGAAAACGGAAAAAGAAAGAGAAGCAAATGGTATGAGCTATTAATTTTGGCTTATGTTCTTAAAACAATCCTAGCTTAAAGCCTTGGCAATTTCCCTCAGCACAAACTTCTTAATTTTCCCAGTTGATGTCCTAGGGAGCTCCTCTTTGAACAACACTGTTTTAGGTGCCATATAATGTGGGAGCTTGGCCCTACAATATTCTATCATCTCTTTCTCGGTAGGCTTTTCACCGTACTCATCCTTCAAACATACGAAGGCACAGGGTGTCTCACCCCAAAACTCATCCGGTCTTGCCACAACAGCCGCCTCCTTCACAGCTGGATTCGAATACAAAACAGACTCGACTTCGGCACTGCTTATATTCTCTCCGCCGCTAATAATCACATCCTTGGACCGATCCTTGATCTCTAAATACCCATCGGGGTGAACAACACCAGCATCACCGGTATAAAACCAACCATCCCGTCGCATGCATGAAGCTGTAGCTGTCGGGTCCTTCAAGTAACCAAGCATTAGCTGCCCACCTTTGACAACGATTTCTCCGAGTGATGAACCATCTTTTTCCGCATTAGTTTCTCTCTCAGGATCCACCACATCCATATCCATTACCCCAATTGTCCTCACGCCTTGCCTAGCTTTTAACCTGGCTCGATCTGGCGCATGCAATGAGTCCCATTGAGGTTTCGATGCACACGACACGATGTACCCGGCTGTCTCAGTTAACCCATAGCAATGAGTCACTCTAAAACCCAATGACTCAGCTCGCAACAGCAACGGTGCCGGCACTGGAGCCCCTGATGCAAGGAACTGGACTGGTTTCTCCAATGGTTGATTAGTTAGAGAAGTTGATGATACCACCATATTTAGCACCACCGGTGCACCACAAATATGGGTCACATGGTGCCGTTTTATCAAGTTATAGATTATGGTTCCATCAAATTTTCTAAGGCAAACGTTGGTTCCGCCCACGGCAGCCATTCCCCACGTGTAACACCATCCATTGGCATGGAACATGGGGAGTGTCCACAGGAAAACAGGATGATGCGGGACAGACCAATCAACGAGGGAACTAACGGTGGTGATGAATATTCCCCTGTGGCAGTGTACAACTCCTTTCGGTGATGATGTGGTGCCCGAGGTGTAGTTTAATACCATTGGGTCCCACTCACTCTCCGGTCGGATCCACTTGAAACCGGGGTCACCTTTGTTCACCATGTTCTCGTACGTGTCGATGAAATTACTATTATCATCAACCGTGGATGATGGGGAGGGTTCATCATCATTGATGAGGACGAGCAATGGGATTTCGGTCCCATTTGATGAGAGCAAAGCTATGGCTTCAAGAACGAGAGGAACATAATAATGGTCCACAAAGACGAGCTTGGATTCGCTGTGGCGAAGGATCGTTGAGACGGTGCGAGCGTCGAGTCGAATGTTGATGGTGTTGAGGATGGCTCCACACATGGGGACAGCGAAGTGAAGTTCGTACGTGGCGGGGATATTCGGCGCCACGACGGATACCACGCGGCCTCTCGCGATCCCCACGGACGACAACGAGGATGCCAGTTGTAATGACCGACGGTTAGTTTGCGACCACGTGTAGGTGGAATCATTGTACACGATGGAAGGGCAGTCTCCGTAAGCAAGGGCAGCTCTCTCCAAGAACCCTAGAGTTGTGAGTGGGGTTGAATTTGATTCTCTTGGTTGCTCCATTAAGTCTGATTTTTCTGTTGCAGCAATTTTAGGTTTGCTATTTATCAAGTTGAATTTCGCCAGTTTTGCTTTGTGTTATCCGAAACTGTCTTTAATTACTCTAAATTGAGGTTACAGTCCAATTGATTTTAATTCTTTACGTTGCTGAAATTAATATGGTATAAGATAAAGACTTTAATTAATGGGCTATCAGTTAGAACTTAGCAGATCCTTCCTTAGACTTTATTTATTTAATTTTCCCCTTTTATGGTCAATTTTGTATAGGGGATTTTGGTAAACAGTTTTTTTTAACAAAATAGTTGATTGATAGTTAAACTTTTCATTCTTAGTGTCTGGTAAACACCTTTTTTTAAAAATTTATTGTGCAAAATAAACTAAAAATAAAAACGCTGAAAAATCCAACAGTTTAAGAGAACTTATTACAAAATAAGATGTTAAATGATATATTTGACCTTATTATTTATATAATTACATCCTTCCATAAACTTAATCTAATGAAATAGCCTCCATCTTAATATATTTTAGTGAAATTTTATTTTATTATTTTATTTTCTATTTTTAGATTCTCAAATATATTTTATTTTAGAAAATATAGCAAAACATGAAAGTAAAAGAAATGTAGTGTTAATATTTTATACAAGGTTAATAGTATGTATTGATCTCACAATGTTAATATTTGTAAATATTAAATTTAAAAAATATATAATAATTTTCTTAAGGAATTTTTAATTCCTTGTTAAAAGTATTTTATCCGAAAACAATTTCACCCCAATAAAGATTAAAGTTTTATAAAATATATATTTACTTAACAACTAAATGTATTATACATTTATTTGTCATTTTACCCATATCAGCTATTAGCTAAGTTTTACCAAACACTTCTACACAAACATTTAATTAATTCAATTTCTCAAATCAACTAATCAAATCAGTTGATAAAACCATCTTTTTGAAAAAAATTGTAAGGATTTTTTTAAGCAAACAAAATGTGAAAGATTTTCAATCTAATATTTATAGGCTGCACAATAGTCTATGTAATTTAAATTTTTTAGAGGGTAACAACTTATTTATTAACTGTCGTTTGATAAATTAAATCAGTCAGTTTCTGAAATAAAATCAGTGAACATTTGAATGAATCTAGACGCTTTTACAACTATGTTCGAAGCATTGATCATATGTTTAATTATGCCAGTTACAAGAGTTATAACATGAGTAATAACTAGACAGTTGCACAAGTAATTACATATGTTACAAACGGCTGAAGATGAATGCATGAATCTGACTGTTTTGAGGCCAGGTTCATCTAGGGATGAAAAAAAAACCCGAACCTGACGGGAAAAATCGAAAACTGAATTAAACGGGTTGGGTTTGGGGATGATAAACGGGGATGAGGATAGGGACGGTGATAGGGGAAAACTGTTTATGCTAAACGGGGACGGGGACGGGGGTGTCTGGCTAAAGTGAGCTTCCTGAACTTTAAGAAGTCCACCATCGTACCTAAAATCATTGATGCAGTGTTAATAGAGTATGCTACAGACAACACTGCATACAAATTCATGATTCTACAAGACTGCTCTATTTGTGAATATAGGGATGTCATTTTCTTTGAAGATTCTTTTCCGTTAAAGAAACCTAGATTGAATGAGGAGACGTAAATAGAAAAATTACCATCCACTTCTTCTAGTGCACCTGCTAGGTCTTCTTAAGAAATTGAATTTGATCCTAGAAGAAGTAAAAGACAAAGAACTGAAACATTGTTTGGACCAAAATTTATAACTTCTTTTATTTTTTTAGATAAATTATTTAAACACTCTTTCTGATCCTATAGTTCAAATTTTTCTGTTAGATGAGGATCCTAAGACATATGAAGAAGCTATACGATTGATTGATGCTAGTTTTTGGAAAAACGCTATTAATGATGAACTAGAATCAATAATGTCTAATCATACTTAGGAATTAGTTGACTTGCCTAGAGGGTTTGGAACTAGCAGCAACAAGTGAGTCTTTTGGAAAAAACTTAGACCAGATGGTTATATCCAGAGGTATAAGGCAAAGCTAGTTGTCAAAGAGTTCACTTAAAAATTCGATAAAGACTTCTTCGATATCTACTCTCTCGTAATAAAAATCTCAACAATCCGTGCATTGTTTGTACTAGCCTCAATTCACAAGTTACAAGTACATCAAATGGATGTAAATATTGCATTTTTGAATGAAGATATAGATGAGGAGATCTATATGGAGCAACCCATTGGTTTTGAGGCGCCTGGTATGGAAGGCAAAGTATGTAGACTTAAAAAGTCACTTTATGGCCTCAAGCAAGCTCTTAAACAGTGGTATGAGAAATTTCACAAGACTATCCTTAGTTTTGGTTTTGTTATGAATAGTTTGGATGCATGTGTGTATTCAAGGATGTTTGGTGCTGATTGTGTCGTCATAAGTTTGTTTGTTGATGACATGTTGATTTTCAGTATTAACATTGAGTCCATTAATAAAACAAAAGATTTCTTGTCTACTAAATTTGAGATGAGCGATTTGGGAGAAATCGACGTAATCTTAGCAGTCAAAGTTACCAAAACAGAAAACGGGTTTTCTTTAAATCAAGCACATTATATTGAGAAGGTGTTAAAGCAATTCGACAGTTTTGATATCATCCCTATTCGAATTCTTTATGACCCTAGCATACATCTCTTTAAAAAAAAGAAATTAGAGTTTCCCAAATAGAATATGCTAAGATAATTGGGAGCCTAATGTTCTTAATGAATTATACTCGGCCTGATATTGCCTAAGTTGTAAGCATATTTAGTAGATATACTCATAACCCAAGTAGTGAGCATTGGGTCGCTCTTATTCGTTTATTGAAATACCTTAAGGGTACGATGGATTGGAGACTTGAGTTTGTTGGTTATCCTGCAGTATTAGAAGAATATTTTGACGCTAATTGGGTTTCTGATAGTGATGAGGTAAGCTCGATGAGTGGGTACATATTTACTTTAGGTGGAGTAGGGATTTATAGGAAATCTTCAAAGCAAACCTGTATTGCTCACTCCGCTATGGAGTCAGAGTTTATAGCTCTTAACTTATCTGGGCAAGAAGCTGAGTGGCTCAAAAATTTATTAGCTGAAATTTTGTTGTGGGGAAGACCAATTCCTCTTGTTTTCTTATTGTATGATTCACAAACTGCGATTAGTGTGGCCAAGAACAAAACTTACAATGGAAACAAGAGGCATATTCGCATAAGGCATGAATCTGTTAGACACTTGATAAGGAATGGAGTACTCTCTTTGGAGTATGTGAAGTCAGAAATGAACCTAGTAGATTCGCTTACCAAAGGGTTAAGTCAGAAACTAGTCCTAGATTCGTCGAGGGGGTGGGTTTAAAGTCCATTGGTTGAGGAATTCATGGTGGATACCCAACTTAGTTATCTAAGTTCAATTTGGTCAAACGAAACCAAGGAAATACTCATAATGTACATTTACCGACCAATCCCTATGACGAACAATGTACATGCCCAGGTTGAGCTTAATTGCTCTTAATAAATTCGTAGACCATGCTTTGGGTGGTCATAGTGAGAAAGACTTGATGAATTTACCGACTTTGGATGAATATATATTCTTAATAAATTCATAACCCAGAGTTGAGTGGGTAGTCCTAATGAGAATGACATAATGAACTTACCGCTAGAAAGGTTGAGTTCTATGAAAACTCTTAATGAATTTAAATTCATAAGTTTGGATGGTCCTAGTGAGAATGAAATATTGAATTCACCAATTAATGAGGTTGAATATTTATTCTTAATGATTTCTTAGCCCAGAGTTTAGGTGGTTCGTTTATAACGAACTTGAAGAAAATCACCATAACCTATTGTGAGGTTGAGCTGTTGTGAAGGCTCTTAATTATTTCATATCCCAGTAGGCCGTTTTTCTAGTACACTTACTAAAACCCTGAGGTAAGATGGCCAAATATACACTCGTGTATATATATCTTACACCTCGAGGACTTCGATGGATGAAGGGGTTTAGTTGTGTGTTATGAGTTTACCCCTATCTTAGAAAGTTCAAGACTAGTTTCACTTATCTACGAGAATGATCGCTCATCACCACTATGTATACGTTCACTAGTGCTTAAGCAACTAGCTCCGCTATTGATCTTCTTAGAATATTATTTTTGAGTTTCAGAAGAATTCTTTCGTATTAGTGGGGGAATGTTGGTAATGCGAAATACACTATCCCACATTGAGTATGAAATACCACTGGCTTGGGTATTTATAGTGTGCATTCTTCTCTCCCTTGTTGAGTGATAGAGAACAAGGGGCAATCTTGCGCGCCGCCATCGCCGTCCGTCTCGTGCTCATGGTCGTGGCTCGTGGCAATACGTGTCTTCAATATGTCCGCACGGATTCTATCTTTTTGGAGAAAATTCCTAAGGAACTTTTTGAGCAAACAATTATAGATGGCACAATGATCTGTGTAATTTAAATTTTTTAGAGGATAACAGTTCCAGACATGGTTTTAATGCAGAAATGTGTAATTTAAATTTTAAAGGTTGTAACAAAAATGCATGAATCTGGACTGTTTTGAGGCTAGATTCATCTGTGAATTATAACAGTTCCAGACATGGTTTTAATGCAGAAATTATTATGATTTTCTGTTAGACCATTTTGCCCTTGTCACACAACCTATAAATAGTGAGGCTTTGCAAGCTTCTCAACTCACCAATTCACTCTCAAACATCTCTCATTCTTTTAAAGCTTTCTAAGCTTTTAAATATTTCTGGTGATCGGAGGTGCAATACCACCGCAGTTCACTCTGGTTTCAAGTGTACGGAATTTTAGAGCGACCGTGTTAACCTTGAGGAACAATTCGCCTGTAGCAACGATTACACACATCAGGACAAATTTGATTTTAAGGTAGTGGTTATCACCACGACACGGTTTCGGTATTTATTATTATTTTTTTATCCTATCAGTGTTAACGTGTGAATTTTTCCATATACATTTCCAACATCACTTTCAGAGCAGGCTCAATACATGCAACATGGTACATTTCCTCGCATGAATCACAAACTAAACAATCTTTCCCATCTGCTTTCTCCCCACAGTAACTGCAAGTGCAAACTTCAAAGACACCACAAGCTTCAATTTGCTCCGTTCTAGCACGAGCTTCTGATTCCCGATTTCATCAAACAAATTCAGGATATCTCTCAAGGATGAACCCAGCCTTCAAAACAGGTTCTTAACATATAATGCAGATTTTGCAAGTAATACAAACAGAAAGATGAGAGAGCAGTTCAGGTCAGAACCCTCCTAACGTGCTTATAGCAAGATTCTTTGCAAACATATGCTAAATTCAAATATCCATAAAAATGCTCAACAAATACTAAATTCCAAACATAAGAGCAGTGGAAATTCCAAAGCCTTGTCTTAAAACAACTTTATCCATGCTCTGAATATCAAAACCGCCCGTAAAGTACCTAATACGGTTCTTTTCGACAGGTTCACTATCAATGTAAACACACCAAGGTAAAATTGCAACTTTTTGGGTCGGGTCGGGTCAGTTGAGTATTTTTTATCATAAATATGAATCCAAACTCAAACCGATCCAAACATAACCTCTAAAATTTCGATCCTATCTGACCCTGAATTTTTTTTAAAAAAATCTGACCTAATCGAATCAAAACTCATCGGACTCAAGTATCATGCCCATCTTAAACTTTTAGAATCCATTAAAGTAATAATTTTATATCTAAAGAAAGAAAGTATAATTTCAACCAAACAGAAAAATCCGGAATTTCAACATTTTCAAAAATTGTTTATATTGCAAACCAAACTTAACATATAACTAGTCATGGAATAACATTTCATATGAGCAAAGTTATAGAAAACGTCAAATTGTATTCATTTTTTTTATATTGCAAACCAAAATCATAAAATTCATATACAAACATTATAGACCTTACAGCAAGTCAGTCATATTTATTTAGACAATTACAAGTGGTGATATTTGTTTTGAAGATTCAAAAACTTAATAACAAACATTTAAATATTCCTATAGTAATTGATATTCGATATCGAACCTTCTAAAAATAACAACAATCTTCCTAACTACTAAATTTCTTGATTCACGGTAAAGAAGATTATATTCGATTAACTTTTACTAAAAAAATAGCATGACGGTGCTGAATAATCAAAGTCTGAAGCATGTGGGTGCGAAAGTTGGACCCAAATTTACTAAAATTCCACAGATAATTCTCAATGCAATGAGCGAAAACTAATCTCTGATCCTTCTTGTATTATTTAATTATTGTATATATATTAATATAAATATCCAAAGTCACTTCTGAAATTTTTAGGATGTTTATGTTTCTTTATAATTATTAATATTTAAAATATTGATAAATTTATCAAAAAAGAATTATTGATAAATTGATTTAAATTAGATACTATAAAATAATTATTTTAATTTAATAAAATTTTAATCCCTAATTTTGTTTAAAAAATCTAACGTTTTGTTTTATTAAACTAATTGATTGATAAAATTTTCATTCTAAAATTACTAGAAACAAACAATGTATACGAAAAATCATTATCACCTATTTAATTCTTATATACATCCGAAAAAAACCTAATACTATATATTAATGTATCGTACAAAAAATATTAAAATTTGAGAATTCAAAGTAATACATTTACATGGTGTAGGAGGAAAAATACAAGTTGTAGGATGAAAGGCCAGGAATAATATTACAAGGCTGAACAGAGTAGAAAACAACAATACATAAGATTTTGCTTAGAAAAGTACAAGTTGAGGATGATGAGTGATGATTAAGGAAGCTTAATTCCCAGAAACGAAACGGGGTGTGCTTAACATCATGGTTTTGAATTCTTGAAAATCCACCAAACCGTCAAAGTTGGTGCCGTAGAAGCGAATCATGCATCTGCAATCTTTGCCGCTGTTCTCATCCCACATTCCCAGTCTCCCCAAGAAGATTTCAAGCTCTTCACATGATATGAATCCGTCTCCGTTTAAATCAAACACCTTGAATGCCTTGGCAAGGTCACTGTCTTCTTCTTCTTCTTCTTCTTCAATGATGTTCTTATTGGAGATGGAATCATAGAACGACAAGAATTCATCAAAGTTCAAACATGGTTTTCCCACTATGGACTCCATCTCGTCCAGGCTGAACTGTGGGTCGAGGAGCCAGTTGAGTTCCTCGACGCTGACAAAGCCATCCCCGTTCTCGTCGAGCTTCTCGAATATCCGTTGCAGGTCCTTCTTGTTTAGGGCTGGAGACATGTCGTCGACTATGAGAAACTAAACATCACCATTAACGTCCACTGCTGGAGCTTTCTGATTTCGTGATTCTTCAGGGACTAACTAACACCATAATCATATATATATGCATATGCGTGTGTGCATACAAATAGCTGAAGAAAGTAGTTTGTGTTTTGTACGGTTAGTAAATTGTGAGAATTCAGTCTGTGGAGAAAAGAGGCAAGGAACCTTGCAAGAAGTTTATACGGAAAATTATTAATGGCAAAATTATATAATTTTTGGGTAAACTACACCTTATACCATTGAACTTTGAATTTTACCAATTATAATATTAAACTTTGATTTTTGTTTCACTTTTACCACTAGACTGTTAAATCGTTAATAGCCAGATCAAAACGATGTCATTTTGGTGAGGTGCCTACATCGATAGTCATGACCACATCGGAAGCCATCAACCATGTCATCGTACCATTAACGATTTAACAGTTTAGTGGTATAACTGAAACGAAAATTAAAGTTTAGTGTTATAATTAACAAAATTAAAAGTTTAATGGTATTAGCGACACAACAACTAAAGTTTGATGGTATCTGATGTAGTTTACCCTATATTTTTTAGTTGATTTTTTTCCATTTGATTTTTTCCCATTTTTATATATATTGAGATAACATTTATACATTATTAATAGAAAAATTCATAAATAATGTTGTATTATTTATTTTTTTAAACATATTCAAAATGATATTTTTCAATAATAATGTATTAAATGATAATTCTATTTTTAACTCTAAAAACCACTTTTTAACAACTTAAAAGATTTTAAAAAAAAACAAATTGGCAATTTCCTGAGAATATTATGAGAAGGAAAAGGGAATTTGATGGGAATAGTAATTTGAGGCGACTGACTATAATAAAAGAATGTGCACCACATTTGTTGTATTATATTTTAGCCTCAAATCTTCCACAATAAATAAATAATTTGCGTTGGTTCTACAACGCGTCCCAAGGTGAATCTAGATCATTCAGAAATCAAATTATTAATTATAGATATTAATAGAATAATTATAATTTGACACTAAATTGAACTGAATTTAATATAAATATGTGAATTTAAATCACATTGACCATGATAAAATAATAGAATAATTATAATTATGGAAATTTTAGTTGATTGACTGTGACAGTAGGTTGGAAGAGCCACATCCCATTTGAGAAAGCTGTTGATTTCAACTGCCAAATACATTACAAATTGAAATCTTATCATACAATATCTTCTTCCTAAAATTGAACATTTAGGATATTATGCGCTACCTCCTGTTTTTGTGCGTCGGTTATATAAGCATAACAACCACACAAATAATTAAACATTTTCAATTTTAAACACACTACAGTTCAATATATATCAAACATTTGATTTATTTTTTAAAAAAATGAAGAGTTGAGAAAGAGTAAGGTTTGGGTTCATCACCCCTCCTAGACCTTTATTGCTACTTGCCGCTAATGAAAGAGATTAATTGGCCTTTAACTTATCTGGTAAAGAATAAACGGCTTGATGTTTCTCTCCGAGTGTTCAAACTCATGGCTTTAAGCTGAACTCCCCAGGTTCACTGTATGTTTGCTCCAATTGCTCTATTTTGTTGATTCTGAAGCCCCTCGTCCTCAGCTCCTCTGGGAAAGCAGTATCTTTGTAGTCAATGTTCTCAAGAATCCATCCCTTGTTCTGTACTGATCCTCCCACTTTTACCTGTTCCCGACAACCATGTTATTACGAAACCGTACTCCAACTGAAGTAAGCTCAAAGGCCTAAATAAAATTCCACATTTACAGGCACCCAAGGGTCTCCTTCTTGAATAAGTTTTTTTGAACATTTTCTAGTGATGATAATGAATGAACTGTGCGAATTATGATATGATTGGGAAGGCAGAGACTATCAGGCATTATTTTCGAGCAAAACCGATCTAATAAAATTGAAGTCATGAAAGCCAAAGCCAGCATCATCTCTTACGTTATTTCACAATATATCAATAATCCTAGCATTCATAGACAATGCTTAAAACATTAATTTTTGCTACCCAAAAAAAAAAACTGTAGCAAACAGTGCAAGGAAAAAAAAACCAATTAAAAGGGAATAACAGATTAAACAATGCAAGGAATCTACCATGAGTTTGTTGTGGCATACCTTGGCACCATCAACAGAGTTGATGATAAGAGCTCCATCCAAGGATAAATTTTCGAGAAGTATATTGCAACCCTTAAGAGCCAAGGTAGACCTTTGAGAAATGGAGCAACTTCCACTAACATTGCTTTTGATCTCAGCAAAAGTCAGCCCCCATATAGGTTTCCATGTAATACACGGCCACACTTCCACCTCTTGTCCATTGAAAAGCCGTTTTACTGGATCCTCCAGTTGGGCACCGGCCTGCCAAACAGATTAAAATTGGAACCCCAAATGTTTATCAATAAAATGAGGGTTATAAAGGGATAAAAAAAGAACGATTCTAGAGAATGAGAGTTTTAGTAATTAAATTTAAGAAAAGGATAATATGACCACCTTCTGAAGGATGCGACTGTTCGCACGATATATAGCCATTTCTCCAGAAGTAGCACTGTGGTATGGATTCCCTTTTGGTACCTTAATCAAAGGTTGATTGTACATTAATAAATCAAATCAAACTGAGAAAATTACCCAGAATATACAGTGAACCAACAAGGGAAACACTCAATGATGACTATAAATATCCAAACAGGAGCCTTGGTACAAAGATAGAGACAATACACAGCCCACAGGCTGATTGCTTTTAACCAAGAAGTTTAAGGGAGGCAAAAAGCGAAGAGGCACAAGTTTAGCATGATAAAATAAATGGAAAAGAAAAAGGCAAAGAGATGTTAGAATGATGAGCACCATCTAAATGAACTGTATAACATCACTATAAACAACACTAAGTAGGTCAAGTTTGAGCATTATATTTAAGTCATGAATGTTAAAGGAACTAATTTACTTTGACTTGCAGCAGAATACTAACAGGGCGTTTAGCATATTTAAACCTGTATGATGCAAGGGGAGCTAAAGAAAAACATAAATGATTTTCAAGCAGAGTTGTTCACACTCTAAGATAGATTCCTAAAAAAAATGTACGTCGTCATCTAGATGTCACAGTTTTTCTATATTTAGATATTCACTAAGAAACCAATTACACTGTCACACCATTGTGTATAGACCAGTGAACACCAGGAATTCCACAAAAGCCGGATAAACAGAGAGGTTATTAAAATATAATTTCACCTTAGCAGCATCCTCAGGGTTGTTTTTCACAGGTGCATAAGCAAGCCATGTATCTATCACCTACACAATTGCATTAAATCAAGAATAGAGATGAGTAAGTACTTAAATTTCTCTCACAGAACGGGGAGAAGAAGGTTCTATCTGATGAGAAATATGAGGTGAAGTCTAGCAAGACCAAAAGCTTAAGGGCAGTAACCGGAAAGGCTTAAAACCACTTATTACAGTAAATCCAACTCTTGCTGATGGAGGCAATGTTTTAGGATAGTCTTGCATCATACACTCGAGCCGTGTTGAAGACTTGAATGATGTTTTGCTAGCATCTTTATACCTGCAGTAACAAAACAGATGAAATGTCAAGACTCACTTTCTTCTTTTACAATGAACTGAATGTACAAAGTTAATAACAGTAAAAAAGCTTTGGAGTTGGGACATCAACATTCCCATAAATCAGATCAAGCTGCAGAAATTCTCGACCATGATTTGGAACCAATGAATGTGACTTTCACTTGTTAGGACACAATATTTGACTATCATAACAACTTTAAGAACTAGTAGACATTCTCGTAAAACCATATCAAGCTGTAGAAATTCTCCAACATGATATGGAATCAACGAATCCAACTTTTACTTACTAGGGCCCAATCTTTGTCTATCATAATAACTTTAAGAACCAGAAGACATATCCTACAGCAGGAAAACTCTAAGAACAAAATACATTTCTTAATGTTGGTGGTAACTGGACAGGACACCATGTTGCTTTGATTTTTCATTTTTGTTAAATAACCTTTTCAGACACCTGTGTCTAACACGTGGATATAGACATGAAGATGAGATCCTCCAAAGATTCTCCAAATATATGGTGATCTTTGGGGGGGGGGGGGGGAATATTAACACACCCATGTTGGACACATACCCAGTGGCCAACACTCACACCAAAGTCTGAGTAACAGATGATGCAAGTGAGATAACAATTTACACCAAAATTCTGTTATGCTACATCTATCCCAGAAATTCAGTTTAACTCCAATCCTCACATTGCTTAATATGGCACACATATGCTTCGAGGTTTAGAAAATACTTGATGAATACAAAATGTAAACATATTTTATTGCAAAGTCTTGTTGTAAGCAAAAAATAAGCAGCAAAATCATCCACAAAGCAGAACATAGACAAGTTTCAATCATAATTAGTGAAAAAGGAAAAGAAGAGTTACTTGGGATTAACAAATTCCTTAATAGAACCTCCTGTTTTTGTTAGCTCCTCAATGTATGGACCAAGCTCCAAAATCAGCTGTAGCATTGAACAAATACATGACAGGAAGGCGAAAGCAATTAGATAAAATAAGGAAAAGCTCTTGCATATGAATAATATTTACATTGCAAAAGAATCAGATCAATTTCTATAAATGTCATAATATGACAATGACAGTTCATCAGGTGAAGAATTTCCTAATTTTCAATACCTTTGACCATGTTGATTGTGTACATAAATAATCCATGTTATATAGTCCAAACTTGAAATCTGATAGAACTTCTAAAGGCTCAAGTACTTTATTCATCACACTATCCACCTAGAAATGAATTATCTAATTGGTCATTTTGAGCCAGAAAACTTACTTGGTTTATATTTCCAGGAAAGGAGAATAACCCGTCTCACAGTTAGCATCTCCATCAGGATGTCCAGTGGCCCTAAGCAGAGGATCAAGTTGATTGTATTCCACATTGATCACCATTGACCTCCCTGAAGTTAACATCAAAGTCACGTTACTGGTAGTGGTGATGCATAAATCCTGTGAATTTGATG